ACCAGTCTCAGCGTTGCATGGTCATGGATTCTGGGCAATCGACGGAATTATTAGCCAGTGTCGAGGCTTGCACCTTGCATCAGCTGGGCCGGAGGCAAGTCGGATGAACCTGTTCATGTCCCGTGAGAAACTGCCTGTTTAGGCAGCAGAGTCAATGTGCTGCCCGCCCTCGCCTTCTCTTGTCCTCCGCCACCACACGCTGATGCCATCGCCGTCGCTCGAGCTTCACCGCCTGACCGCATCCTCGCAGAACGTGGCGGAAATGCTCCCGACGCTGCTGGCGCTGTCGAACAGCGTGTTCTCGGCAGACCTGGGCTCGAAGTACGCGTCTTTGGGCGAATGGCGCAAGCGCCTTGCCTCGCCGGCTGCGGTTATCATATTCCTCGCGCCGTCTGCGAGTCCTGACCGCCCCGTCGCGTTTTTGTTTGCGCATGACCGAGCCCACGAGTCGCCCTTGTCCCACGGCGAGCGGCAGAGTCTGCACGTCTGGCTTGCAGGGGTGCTACCGGAGAGGCGAGCAGAAGGGTGTCTGTCGAAAATGATGTCGGCGCTGGACACGGCGCCTGTGCTTACGGTATGCACGACGCCCGCCGAATACCAAGATATGTGGGGATGGTTGACAAGAAGAGGGTGGGCCACGGAACGGGAGCTCGATGGAGGCAAAGTGATGCTTAGCATTCGCCATGCCTGATCATCGGCCGAGCGGGAGCCTTGGAATGCCCACTCGCGTCCGTTTTGGTATGCAGATAGCCTTGCTTCGCTCTGTGACTTGGCTGCAGTGAGTCCACTGTCTTCTTGTGTAGTCTCGCCTTCTGAGCTTATGAACACGACGTGTCCCCCGAAATTCTGGCGCTCTCCCTCAGGTGCGTCCGCATGCGGCTATGAATCGCCTCTTCAGTCGGTCCAACGCTACTTGAATTCCCAAAAACAATCCCGTACCTTAGCGTCTGTCGTTGCTGGCGCTCCTCACAGATGCGCTCTCAAATCTTCATGGGCGTCCCGTCGACAGAGCGGGATGTACATTAGCCTCTGCGCCGCTGTGACCAGCTGGCAGATATACTGCGCATGACATCGACGTCCGTGCTGGGCGGGACAGTCTGTCTGACACTGCGAGGGCTCGCCTGGAAATCCCACGTCTCTGGACGTGAACATGGATGTGAGCATCCCAGTCTCAACTTGAGCAAACCTAAAACTTCACGAGTCTTCTAAGCGGGCCTTCCCAGCTGAGGAGATAGGCCCGAGATGTCTGCGCTTCCTTCCCTCTTCCAGCAGCCTATGACGCGTCGAACGTTCTCGTGGGTATACACCCTGCCTGTTCCTTGCGCCGCGGTGGGACAACATCCTTCCGCCGGGCCGCCGGACATTCGCTCGCCCGAACAGTCTTCCAGCCACACGCCCATGCACATCTCCCCGTGCGCCTGCAGCCAGTTGGACAGCTGTGCCGCCTGGAAAACTTGGCCACGTCCATTCTGCGCCGCAACGGGGGAAAGTGGGGGAATACGACACGTTGGGAGCGCGCAGATTGGAAAGGACGGGCGACCCCTGCCATGCCAAGCGACGGGCACAGCACCCTCGCTCCCGCCGTCCACGGAGGCCTGGCCGTGTCCCCTTGGCAGAGGAGCCTTTGCGGCCGTGGGCAGCGCGCGTGAAGGCGCCCTCGGAGACTTTCGCAGACACTGGGCTGTGCTCTCTGATCCCGACAAGGGCCCACTGCCTCCGTGCGCAATTTTCTCTGCGTCCCGCTCCCACGCCTGGTGGTCTGCCATGACGCCATCCTCCGCTCCCCTGCGTCTTCCGCGGTGAATCAGGATCTGGCTCTTGTAAATCCGGTTGGAAATTGCGGGGGAAAGGGCTGGTCGGCGCACTGCCCGAGGGTGTGTTCTGCCCCGTTGCTGGGGAGCTCACAGCGGTGTGCTCCAGTGGTGCTGCGGACGGGCCGCATGAGGCTGCGTGCAAGTGATATGACAGGAGCTGCTGATTGACGATCACGTACCACCCCGTCTCGGCGACGCTCCGATCGAGCGAACTTACTGTGGGACGCCATCGACCGGACAGCAGACATATATATATATATTGATTGCAGCACGGGCGGTATGTATGTGGTTTCCTCGGGTTTCGTTCCTGGCACAATGTCAAACAGCAGCACATGGTAATACACGTCTATGGATGGCAGAACGGAATCGCAGAAAAGGCGTGATCAAGCTGACCGAACAAGCCCAAGAGCTCGACAACGACAGTGGAGAATGCAGCGGTATAAAAGCCGTGACGGGAGCAGTGCGGAATACAATTGCGGCAGAACGGCGGATGGGACTGACTCGTGAACGCACGAACGGAAGGAGTGAACTATGTAACAAGCAGAACAGCAAAAAGAGCGACAGCAGCCCGAAATGCAAAGGGGGGAAACGGCACGGACAACGGAGAGACAGACCTATCGAGGTTTTTTTGATTTACCTTTTTCACAAGATGAGAGTGCGGAACACACGACGACCACGACCACCCGGGGTCCACCCCGCCCGGCGACAACCACACAAACACACAGTGGGAGCGACGCTCCCAGCAGTTTTCGCAGTCTTCCACTGCCGCCTCTCGAGCCAGCACCGGCCCGCCCAGGCGCGACCGACTCCACGGCCCACACCCACCGCTATCGCCCCCGTCACCGGCGCAGTCAACTCGAGGTTGGTTTCCCCACAGACGAGATCATGGGCAGCGTGTGCCCGCGCGAAAGCGTGCCGATATTTGGGACTGGGAGCTCGTCTCGCCGCCCTGCCGCGCGGGGCCCCAGCCCACTCCCGCTCCGGGGCCGTGTCTGCGGCCAACCCGACGTCAGTCCATACCCCAGCGGCGCCGAATCGCTGCGCGCCCGCGAGCCCTTCTTAGCTGCGTCTCCGGACGTGGGTGGCGGACCTGTGCGCTGGCGCTTTGCGCGAGGGTCGTCAGACAGGTCCACCCCGGGCGATGGCGGCAGTGGAGTCGAAAGCGCGGTCTCGTAGCGCGCCGAGGACACGCCATGCCCGAGCGCGTGTGCGTGGAGCGGTGCGCTTGTGTCGTACGGTGGCAGGTGCTGGAACGAGTGCTGTCGCGAGAGCGTGTTCGGCGTGTGTGCATGCGACGGGAACTCGGCTGCGGTCGGGCTTGAGCCTGGGCTGACTGTGTGCAGCGAGTGTAGCGAGCCGCTGAGCGAGAGCCCGGAGAAGTGTCCGTGTGGCCCGGCACTCGTGGGCGAGGTGATGTAAATGTTCGGACTCTCTGTGGGCTCGAGGATGTCGCTCGGGAACGACATGGGCACTGCGGAGACGACAGTGTCAGCACGGCGCGGTCCCGCGTGGGCGAGGGAGACGTACCACTTCCTGGATACGTCCGGGACATGATGTCGTACATGGCCTTGGTGACGTGGGCGAGACGCTCGACTTTGCTTCTCTCCGCGTGGAACGCCAGAGTCAGTCTGCGGTTGTCTTCCCGAACTTGACTCAACTGAGCGGCAACCTCGCCGGGCAGCTCGACACGGTGCTTCACCGACGGGTCCGGCTCTAACGCTTTCCGCTTAATCTCTTCCAAGAGATCTGGCCGCCCACGCAGGAACTTGAGATGGGAGAACTCCCATGTCTGGACGTCCGCAGAGGTGCGCTGCGCGCGTGGTGTCTGCGGACACGCATTAGACACATTTCAGCGCTTGGGAAATTCACGGGGCTTACACGGTTGATCTTGTGGAAGCCATACATGTTGAGTTGCCTCACGAAACTCGAAAACTGAAGATAGCAGCGCGTTTAGCGGATAACATGCGGGAAATGGGAACACTCTGACGTTATTATGCTTGAAATGTGACCCCAAAATCGTTCTGCTGAATTCACCGACGTTCGAGACCACGAAACTGGCGAGAGATGACTAACACCCTTCAGAAAATTTGTGGCGAGTAATTACCTGGTGCCGAGCTCGGTCCACGTAATAAACTGCGCCGACTTCGGATCGTTGATCATCCTACATGAGGCTCGCAAACTCAAAGCTGGCGGAGAGACGTAAGGGGGACGCACTGGTACAGCTTCGTGACAAAATTATTCGTGCCGAGAGGCTTTCCGAGCATGCCCATCGAGGCAGGAAGGCCCGAGTGGATGCCCGAGACGGTGGAGTGCATCTGCCCGTCAAGAGGCTTCAGCTGGTCGTCCTGCTCGCCACCGCTCGTGCTCCCGTCGACCGGGCTGCCTTCGGGCTCAATACCGCCGTACGACATCTCGACCTCGTCGTACGAGGCGGCGTCCATCGGGTGGTCGTATGCGGACTCTTCGATGGACGTCGAAAGTGCGGGCACCGTGGAGAAACTGCGCTTGCGCGGAACAGATTTTTCGGAAGAGGACGACGAGCGGCTGCTTGTCAGCCGGCGCGAGGCGTAGTCGTAGTGCACGTCGTCGTACCGCACGCCCTGGTCTGGCGCAGCGAATTGGAACGGCTGCTGCTGAACGTGGGTAGGGTGGTGAGCGTGATGATGGGAGTGGTGTGGGTGAAGACTCCCTGCCGCAGAGGGGCTGATGGGGGTGATGGGTGAGACGTGGCTCGACGCTTGGGTAGACGGGTGCGGAGAGGGGTTGATGGGCGAAAGGCTGGTGGGCGAGGTGACGGAGAGGGAGGAGAGGTTAAGCGAGAGAGACGCGCGGTGGTCGACCCTGTCGACGATGCCGTCACTGATTCCCGCCTGCGTGGCCTGCTGCTGCTGGGGCTGCGAGTAGTAGGCAGGGTAGTGCTGGTCGCTGAGCGGTGCGGCCGACGACGACGGCGACGGGAAGGCAGACTGGACGTGCATCGGGGGGAGGAGGTGCGGGCCTTGCTGGGACCACGGGGCGCACTGCTGTTGCTGCGAGGGAGAGAAATGCGAGTCAGAGGCAGACATGGTTTGGGACGGGGAGGACGATAGCAAGACGAGTGTCCGCAGTCACCATGCAGGCGGGAGGAGGGCGAGCACGCTGTGTGCGACGGCGAGCTAGAGGCTGTGGGCGACGGGCGGGCGGGAGGGCGGGGGC